ATCTTTTTTTTTTATTTGTTTTTTTTTTTTTTTTTTTTTTTTTTTTGTGAGACAGGATCTCACTATGTAGTTGAGACTGACCTGGAACTCACTATGGAGCCTAGGCTGGTCTCAAATTCATAGTGATCATCCTGCCTCAGCCTCCCAAATGCTTGGATTACAGGCGTGTGCTACCACGCCCAGCTTTGGTTTTGGTTTTTTGAGTGAGTGTCTCACTGTGTAGTTCAGGCTGTCCTTATATTCACTATGTAGCCCAGACTGGCCTCAAATTTGAGTGATCCTCCTGCCTCAGCCTCCTGAATGCTGGGATTACAGACATGGGCCACCCTGCCCAGCACATTTTTTCATATATTTATTGGTCATCTTTGGAGACCAGTATCCAGCTACACGTTCATATCTGATCCTAAGATTCAGCCAATGAATGAAAAAGAAACCCAGATAGGAAATTTTTTGGTCACACTGACCCCAAAGTAGGTGCATCTCCTTCACAATGAGCCCCATCCCCGCACGGTTTTGTTACTGTCTTTTTTTTTTTTTTTTTTTTTTGGTACCAGGGCTTGAACTCGGGTCCTTGGGCTTGTGAGGCAGGCCACCCAACCGCTGAGCTAAATCCCCGGCCTTTGTCATTGTCTTTTAAAGACAGGGCCTTACTGAGTCACTCTGTAGTCCATGCTGGGCTGAAATGTGGAACCCTCCTGTCCCAGCTTCCCAGAATACTTGGGGTTCCAGGCCACCACACCTGGCTTTGAAGTAGTTTTTCACTCATCAAAATAAAAGGAGATGTCTTTCATTTTTCAGAGGAGAAACTTAATACTTTCTCCATAGAAGATGAATTCTAATGAACCATAAATTTTTTGTTTGTTTGTTTTTTGAGACAGGGTCTCACTATATAGTTGAAACTGACCTGGAACTCACTATGTAGCCCAGGCTGGTCTCAAACTCACAGCAATGCTCCTGCCTCAGCTTCCCGAGTGCTGGGATTACAGGTGTGTGCCACCAGGCCCAGCATGAACCATGAATTTTTAAAATTAATTAATTAATTAATTTTGGTCTTTTGAGACAGGGTCCCACCATGTAGCCCAGGCTGGCCTTGAACTCATGGCAATCCTCCTGCCTCAGCCTCCCAAGTGATGGGATTACAGGCATGTGTCACCATGCCCTTTAAGAGTTTTCACATTTAAAACAGGAACAAAGCTAGTAGTATGTCTAACGTTTTACAGCAACTCCTTTCCCTGTTTTTTTCTTTTGTTGTTGTTTTTGTTTTTGTCTTGTTTTTTGAGACAGGGTCTCACTATGTAGTTGAGACTGCCCTGGAACTCACTATGTAGCCCAGGGTGGTCTCGAACTCACAGCGATCCTCCTGCCTCAGCCTCCTGAGTGCTGGGATTACAGGGGTGCACCACCACGCCTGGCTTCATACCTGGCTTCTGAATACCATTTTTAGAAAGTCCCTGTAAAGGGTCTAGTTTATCTGGTAAAATATTTTAATTTGCTTGTGTCATTCATTCTGGACCTGTGTTTTGCTTCCTTCATTTTTTAACACAGTAATGAATATTTGGGGGTGGGTGGGCTGGAGACAGGGTCTTGCTATGTAGTTTATACTGGCCTTGAACTCACTATGTAGTCTAGACTGGCTTGAACTCTCAGGGATCCTCCTGCCTCAGCCTCCAGAATGCTGGGATTACAGGTGTGTGCCACCACACTGGGTGGTAATAAGTATTTTATAGCATCTGGTTTGGATCTTTTTCTACCAGGCATTCCTGGAAGTATCATTACTAAATCAAAAGATAAAAATGATTTATGTTTCTTAGTAAGTGCATATTTCCAGTTTCCCCTCAAAATACGTTGTACCCAGATCGCGAAGTCCCCAAAGACCACCAAGGAGTCAAGTCCGATGCAATTAGATGAGGAGTTTATTGCAAGCTCGAGCCTGGGCCCTTGTACTTCTCCGGCCAAGCGGATTAGGGACGGGAGCCCCAATCCACTTTCGAAGCATGGCTATATAGGGTTGGGAAGCTTTCCCTTTTCATTGATGCTGGTTTTGACTTTCTACTGCTATCGGATGTTGCTGGGGTACTTACGGGAACAGGAGGATAGAAACGTGCAATAGCCAATGCCCAGGAGGAGGGCAGGCTCAGCGGGGGGCCACTATATTCATTTTCCAAAGAACATCTTACATAATCAAACAGGTAAGCAAGGAGTTTCTTTGCTTAACTTATCTCTAATTTATTTTATAAACTTAAGCAATTATCAGGAGGAGATAAGTTCACTCTTGGTTCAGAAGAAGAGGAAAAGAAAAACAGGGAGGAGGTTGCTATACAGAACGGAATTTCAGCCGGGCGTGGTGGTGCACACCTGTAATCCCAGCACTTGGGAGGCTGAAGCAGGAGGATCACTGTGAGTTCAAACCCAGCCTGGGCTACATAGTGAGTTCTAGGTCAGTTTCAACTACATAGTGAGACCCTGTCTCAAAAAAAACAAAAAAAAAAAAAAAAAAAAAAAAAAAAAAAAAGAATGGAATTTCTGCAGCTCTCTGCCCAAAGGGCAAAGAGAGAGCCTACCTCGTTCAGAAAACTTGGTTCCTACAAATATATATTGACTTGAATTACCAGTAACACAAGAAAGTCGCTATTTCACTGGTCCCTCACTACGATGAGACTTTAATGTTTCAGCCAGGTATGGTGGTGGATGCCTATAACCACAGCACTCTGGGAGGCTGAGGCAGGAAGATCACAAGTTCAAGACAAGCCTGGGTAATTTAGCAACTTAGCAAAATATAATAAAGTACAGTGTATAAAGGGCAAATTTGACTGAGTGCTGGGATTATAGGCATGCATTACCACGCCGGGATATGATTTTCTGTTCTTTTAGATTTTTTTTGTCTTGTCTTGTCTTTTTTTTTTTTTTAGGCAGGATCTCACTGTGTAGCCCAGGATGGCCCTGAACTCATGGCAGTCACCCTCCTGCCTCAGCCTCCCAAGTGCTGGGATTTTAGATGAGCTTTAGAATTGTCTTGCCTAGAGCCAGGCATAGTGGTGCGCACCTATAATCCCAACACCCTGAGAATCAGAAGCAGTAGTTTGAGCCCAGCCTGGCCAATTAAGGGACAGTGAGACCTTGTCTCAAAAGAACTGGAGATACAGCTTAGTGGGAAGGCCCTGGGTTCAATCCCCAGTATTGCAAAGAACAAAGACAACAACAACAAAATGGTCTCCCAGGGGGTGTATCCGCCCACCTGGATAGGAAGGTGTGACCCCAGGCCCTGTCTCTAGGCCCCGCAGTCCCCTGCCCCAGGCGGAACCCAAGGAGAGAGGACTGAGAAGCCTCGGAAGAGCCTCCGCCCGAGCAGGGTGGGGTGTGGGCGGTGCTCCATCGTCCTGGCGCGGGTAGAAAGCCTGGCATCCCCCTTCCCAGCAGCAGTGACTCCAGCTGCTCCCGAGGGCTCACCGCACCTCTCCCAGGTAAGAGGGCCGCTGCGGGCTCGCGGGACCTGGGCCGGGCTGGAGGGGACCAGGGTTCCTGTGGCAGGGGATGGCAGAGGGCACCCGGCCCGAGCTCCGGCTGCGGGGACCCCCTCCTGTGTTCCTTATCTGCGAAATGGAGAAAAACTTGCTGATGAATTTATGGTTGTTACAGAAATTAAACAATGAGTCTGTGGTCTGCAAGGTTCAGATGTGAAAAGCGACGCTTTGACGTTCCGCGTGGGGCCCGTGAGGTAGGTGACTACAAAACGCCGGCGGCCGTGGGGGGTCGGGGTTGCGGGGTGCGCGAAGCCAGGTGCGAACTCGGGTTCATCGGCCCCGGAGAGTGTTTCTGCAGCCTTGAACTTGCTATACAGCTCAGGCTGCCTTTGAACTCTTACCCTCCAGTCTCAGCCTCCCAAAGGCTGGGATTGAGGCATGTTCCAACAGGCCCCGTTTAACAACTCTGAAAGTCAGTCCCATCTGTGAGCTTTGTGGAGTGACGGTGCCAGTCAGTCCTTCTCTCTGGCCGGACCTCTCAGCAAGGATGGGGAAGCATTTGATTGAAAGTTGTAGATTTGCAGGGCATGGTGGTACAAGCCTATAATCCCAGCACTATAGGCTGAGGCGGGAGAGTTTCTTCAAGTTTGAGGCCAGCCTGGGGTACAAGGGCTGCTTGAATTACATAGATGATCTTGTCTCAAGAATAAAACAAAAAGCCAAAAAAGGTTGCGCAGTCAACTGCAGAGGAGTGGAAAGGAACAATCATAAAGGGAGAAATAAGTTACGCTAAGAAACAATAGCAGCTCTTTCCGGCGGTCACCTCATTCCTCTGTTGGTGATCCCAGACGCCCAGACGACCTTTGTTGGTGAAGTTCCTAGTCCCGTGCCTTGCTTTTCTTGTTCTCTTTTGGCTTTCTTCCAGGCTGGTCTGGAACTCATGAAAATCTTACCGCCTCAGCCTCCTGACTGCTGGGACTACCGCGTGCCACCATGCCCAGTCTCCTTTTTTTTGTTTTTTTGAGACAGGATCTTGCTATGTGTTTCAGGCTGGCCTTAAACTTACTCACATGATCTTCCTGCCTCAGTCTCCCGGAAGGTTGGGATTAGGGGTATGCACCACAATGCCCAGCCAATCTTTTTGTTTTCTTTCTTGATATTGATACTGGGGATTGAGTCCAGGGCCTTCACACTGAGCTATATATAGCTTCAGTTCTTAAAAAAGAAAAAAAATTTTTCTTTGGTTTTTTGAGACAGGGTCTCACTATGTAGTTGAGATTGAGCTGGAACTCACTCTGTAGCCCAGGCTGGTCTCGGACTCACAGTGATCCTCCTGCCTCAGCCTCCCAAGTGCTGGGATTACAGGCGTGCGCCACCACGCCCAGCTTTAAAATGAATTAAAAAAAATGAGGCAGGGTCTTTAATTTGTCCAAGTTTGGTTTTAATTTGAAATCTTCCTGCCTCAGCTTCCCTGAGTGCTGGAATTACAGGCGTGTACCACCACACCCAACTGGTGGTTATCAGCTCATCTCCCAAATCTTCCCCCTTTCGAGACACAAGCTGAGAACAGAGTGCCCCACTGGATCTGGAGTTTCGATACCCCCTGGCCTTTATGTGCAGAAATATCAGCAGAAGCCAGCTTTGCCTCTTGACGGCATATTCAGTTCATCTGGAGATGGGTGGGAGAGTGCCGGGGCCAGCAGTGTCACTCCAGGTGAAAGTTACAGTGCAGGGGAGGGAGACCCGATCCCTTCAAGGCCTCAAAAACTTCCATCTCAGCTGGGCTCCGTGGCACACTTACAATCCCAGGGTGAGGCAGGAGGATCCCTGCGGGTTGAGGCCAGCCTGGGCTGTGGATAGCCTGCGGGGGAGTCTGGTTACATCTGTGGGCTACGGGAAAGGTAGTCCCACACAGCAGCAGTGTGAGGTGGTGCGACCTTTGAAGGAAAGGAAAGGAAGGCAAAATTTACTGGCTGAGCAGAGACCTGAGCCCAGCCTCAGAAGCAGTGGGAAAATCCCTGCCCATCCCAGAGGTCAGCAAGGCCATGGGCCCTGGGCGCTGTGTGCCCTGGCTGAGACAGCAGGAGAGGCCAGCAGACTGGCCACGCGTGGGCCGAGGGAGATGTCGGCTGTACTCTAAGTGCAATGGGAGATCCGAGTAGGAAAGGCCATGGTTGGGTTTATGTCTCGGCAAGTCTTTCTCTGTTTGCCGGAGGATGGAGCAGAGGGCCAGAGGTCCATGGAGAAACCACTTGAAATGATCCTAGAAATGATGCAGGTGAGGGAAGACTAGAGTCACCACCTCTGGAGTGGCTGCAGAGCCGCTGGAAGGGCTTTCTGAGTGTTAGATGTGGGGAGCTGGAGGAGGCTGAGGGGTGCGCACTTAACCTGAAGATCCTGGACGGTTCGCCTCTGTGGGGGAGGCTGGGGTCAGCTTGCGAGGAGAGTTCGGGTGTGACCAGCTCACAAGGCTGGGGGACTGCAGGACCCAGGTGGAGACTGTCAAGCTCAGCGTGGGCTGGACAGTGTGCGGGGAGAACCTTGCAGCTGGGAAGTCCAGGCCGGGGTCTCCACGTGAGTCCTGACCTACTCTGCACCCGGAAACCAATCTCAGGGCCCACAAGGGAAGGCGCGGCGTGTTTCCAGTGCGTTTGACCTAGCGGGCATGGTCCTTGCTCTGTGACAGGCTTCGTTTCTGCTGAATTCACCGGCCAGTCCGGAGCAGGGCCCGGGGGTAGAGAGTGTTTCTTCCTGGGAGTTGTTGTGGCCCCGAACTTTGACGCTGCTGATGATCTAAGGGGCCTGGTTGGGAGGGGTCTGGAGGAGAACGGGATGGAGGAACGAAAGGGAACAAAGACTCCCAAGGAATACTGCTACCACGAGGAGCGAGGGAAAGCGCGGCGGTGAGGGCGCCGGCGGCCAGGGTGGGTGAGGGTGTCCGGAGGTGGCTACTAAAGGCAGGAGGAAAGCGGGAGGCTTTTGTGCCCTGGAGAAGGCTCCATGCAGGGAGCACTAGAGGTCAGTAGGAGGGAGCGGGACCTTGGGGACACCAGAGGGGAGAGTTGAGTGCATCTGTACGGCTATCTGATGGCAGCCTGGTGCCTTCGGCCGGGCAGCAGGGAGCACGGTGCCCCGGGCACAATCTCGGACAGGAGCTGCGGTCCCCTGGGCACACGGGAAACAGCCCTCAGCTGCGAGGCTGGAGGTGAAGTTGGTCCCTGCTTAGCTGCTCTACAGAGCCAGGGCTGGTGGACAGCGCTCTCCTCCCGTCGGTGCTAGCGGGGTGCTCCCGGTGGCCCGGCGGTGCCCGCCTTCCCTCACCGTCTCCCCAGGGCCCTGCACCTGCTGCTTACGCTTAATCAGCACTAAAAGTGAGCTCAACAGAAGAGACAGCAGGATCCTCCACTGCCGCGAGCTAAGTTAGGCTTTGCAGAGGATCCTCTGATCTTGGCTGAGCACAATTTCAGGCACAAGACAACAGGACTCCTATGTAGAGAAATTTTAAAAACCAGAAGGAAAAACCAGCATGGTGGTGCGCACCTTAATGTTGGCACTCAGAGGGCTGTGAGGCAGGAGGATTGCTGCAAAATCAAGGCCAGCCCGGGCTACATAGTACAAGACCAAGCTGAATGCATGTACCAGTTCTCTATGGTGAGTGGAATCATGTACTTCAAACAAGTACTAGGGCTTTCTTTTAAAAAAAGCAAAACATTTATTGGTACATTTTTTTATACATAGATAGTAATTTGCACTCCTACATGATATATCCTGCCTCTCTTCCCCATTTCCCCCTCCTGAGCCCTCTGCAAAAGCTTTGCTTCCATTTTTCCTTCTATTTTCTTTTTCTTCTTTTTTTTCTTTGGTACCAGGGATCAAACTTGGATCCTTGAACAGAACCACTGAGCCGAATCCCTGATCCTTTCCTTCTATTTTCACTTTCTTGTGTCTTTCTCCCTCCTCCTCCCTTGTTCCCCTTCCCAGTTGAACATTTTCTTCCCATTTCCCAACATCTATTATACATTTTACTCCTTATTCCACTTTTAAAATTAAAAAAGAGACACAGCAAGACCTTGTCTCAAAAAACAAAGCAAAAAAAAAAAATTCATCGAAATCCACATACAATTTCCACAATGACTGTAATTTCCTGTTCTAGGAATCTTCAGTAAGCACTTTCCTCCCCCCAGACCTACGGATTGGTTTAGATTTCAAAAGCCCCTCCCTCCTTCCCTGCTCCCTGCCCTGTCCACAGAAGGGAGGCGTGGAGGGTCAGGCAAGCACTTTGGCTTTTATTTGTAAGACACTTTGGGTCAGATGATTCCCAAGCTTGGTCCAACTTAAACATTCTGTGTTACCTACAAATCCTTGAGGTGACTGTAGCGCTGTGGTTTTTCCTGAAATTGCACACCAGTTGTTACCTGGAGGCCAGGGAGAGAGGCGAGTGTCCAGCTGGTTCCATGCCTGGGTCTGGAAGGGCTGCGAGGAAGCTTCTGGAACAAAGTAAAATTTGATCTGATTTGCAATCAGGGGAGGATCTGAGGGACTTGGCCGTGACCCCAAGTTGGGGAGGGCCACGTCCTGTAGTGGGGTGAGACCAGCATCTGTTCTGCTGGCTTCCGGGTACCTCTTCCCACGAGTCACATTCGAGGGCCCGCTCCCTGTGGAGCAGAAAGGACAGTGGCAGTAGCTGAAAGCTGTAAGCCCTTGGGCTTCTCCAGGGATACAAAGCCCTGGCGAGGTAGGGAAGAGACTCCAGTTTTATTGGGTTTCTTTAAGGTCACAGTTTGTGTGGCCCCTGTAGGCTGGCAGCCAGGCCAGGTACGGCATCCTCTCTGGACGTGCCCCTCCCTGCCTTCTGGTCTGGGCTACAGTGGGTGCCCTAGTGTTCAGGGGACCTAGGGATGTTTCTACCTGTGACACAGTGGTTCCTATTTGCCCTGCCTTTTTTTCTTTTTAACTGGGGAAGGAATTCAGGACCTTGCACATTGCACAAATCTTGAACTTGTGGCCATCCTCCTGCCTCAGCCTCCCGAGCACTGGGACTATATCTGTGTACCACCAGCACGCTCAGCTCACCTGTAAGTTTGCTTACTCCTTGTGTCTCCACTGGACTGTAAGCCCCACGAAGGCAGGCGCTGGGTCTTTCTCTCCAGTGCAAACAAGACATTGTTGGTTGCTTGAGTGCTGGCTAGGAGAAACCTCAGTTTCCAAGGCAAATAGAACTCACCCAGCAGTGACTGGAAGAGCAACTAATAGTGCAGTTGGGTCGGAACTGATAGTCGGGAGGGGAGTTGATAGTGATTAGACAGGCCGAGTGAGGGGAGGGCAGCAGGGGGTGCTGAACATTTGCAGCTCAAACATTTGGGGCTTTGCGTGTGTAGCTAGCGCTCACCTGATGGGCACCATGGGTTTGTGACTGGTCCTGTTGCCTCCCTCTAGCTGGTGAGCAAAAAAAAAGTAGAGGAGCCTAAGTTGGCTTACCACCAGCAAGAGTCGATGTGCATTTTGTATTAGTTTGAACCTCACGAACTTGGTTCTGTTCAACTCATAAAATGTTTATGAGTGTGTGTTTGCAGTCCGTAACAATTGCATTCACCGTGGGGAGTTGGTTCAGGTGCACAGCATTTTACTTCCCCTTCCCTTCTGCTCCTCCTCCATCTTTTGGTCCCTGCTCATTGCAAACTATCTATGTCAAAACAGCAGGTTCCTGCAGTCCCGTTCGGTAGGTAGCCTGGGCCTCTTCTGCTCCCCTTCTCCCTCTTGCTATCTGTTCCCCCCCACACACCTGTTTGGTTTTTTTTGTTGTTGCTGTTTTTTTTTCTTTTGGCACTGGAGATCCCGAACTCAGGACCTTGGTGCTGGCAAGGCAGGCGTGATTTCGCCGCTGAGCTAAGTCTCTGGCCCCACACCTGGTTTTTGAGACAGGGTCTCCATGCAGTCCAGGCTGGCCTGGAACTTTTGGCACTCATCCCTCCTGGCCCTCAGCTCCCAAGTGCCAGGATTACAGGTGTGTGCCACCATACCTGGCCCTGCTCTTACTCTCGGATCGGGTGTACTTCATCTACTTGTAAGATGACATGAGTCCACTCTGGGGTGGCACACAATAGGAGCTAGTTTCCTATTTCCCATTACCGGAGGTCACTGCTAAGAATGCTTTTGTATATTTATTCTCCAATATTCTCCTCTGCCCATTGATGTATTTAAACAGGTCAGAAATAGCCCATGACCAGTCCTGTCTCTGTCTCTCTTCCATTTCTGCATGTAGCCTGCTTCTTTCAAGTCTCCTCTCTCGTAACTTTGCAATGCATTATTTGACATTTCCCGAAGTTTGGCCAAGTGGAAGACATTCCTTGTCCATGGCCCGACGATCTATGCTAAGGTGATCGTCACTGCCCCGGGGCTCCAGGCCAGCTCTTCCCAGGTGGTCCTGCTCAGGAGGTGCGGTCTCAGTCTTGTGTGGTAAAATCCACTCCATGTCCCTCCCTCGCAGTGGCTGTGGCCAGGAACAGAACCGGGCACACTGCCCACAGCTTTCAGGGGAGGGAACTGAGCAGGTGGGGACCGATTGTTCACAGACCCGGCTGTACGGCAGATGCCCAGTGCGTGATGTTAGCCACCCTGCCATTGTTTCTGGTTTAGCAGCCAGGGTTAGAAATGAACATGGCAAGGCCTGAGCTTGTCTCCTCACTGACATCCTGGGTTTCCCGGGGCCTGGTTGCCTAGGCCCAGCCTATCAGGGATGTGGGCCTGGTTATGCGCCCCCATTAACAGCTGAGAAATCTGCCGCTTGGATGAGTTGGCTTATAGCTAAGGATGGATGCATGCATCATCCTTTTAACCTATGCCTGGTTTCAGTAAGTGTGGATCATAACAAGAAAACACTACATTTTATACTCACTCATCTTCAAGGCTGGCTTCTATCAGCTGATTTTTTTTGCAGTCTCTGTAACCTCTAGCTACCTATTCTTTTTGTACTGGGAGTTGAATGAATGCGTGCAAGAGCAATTCCCATTGGTCTTGCACGACAGGAGGGTGAAACCACTGATCCCCGGCCCTCACCAGCTATTTATCAACCGCCCTCCCACACCTCGTGGTTAACTTGATAAAAAGAGTTCATGTATTTCTGAATGGGAGAGGTACACTGTCCAGCCTGCTGTGTTAGCCTGCGTCCGACCGCTCATAACGAGGCACAGTGGACTAGGGTGGTCAGAGACGCCTGCCTGGGTTCACACCTCCGGCCCAAGGTCAAGGTGATGGCCCTGATCCCGCCCCCACCGCCTCTGCAGTCCTCAGGTGATAAGGGGTGTCACATGCATCACAGGGAGCTTTTACTGCAGCCGGGAGGAGGTACCCATTAACCATTAATCCATTCATTGCACGGATCCATCCCATGGGGCAGAGCCCTGATTACTTCTCATGGTCCCACCTCATCCCACCGGTGTGTGAGATTTCGAAGGGAAGGAACCATCTTCAAACTGAAGCACCCACACTCCAGCACTGTGGTAGATAATGTGAATAAGATGGTGCAGTTTGAGCCAGGAGTGGTGGGCTCGCCTGTAATCCCAGCACTCGGGAGGCTGAGGCAGGAAGATCGCTGTGATTTCGAGACCAGCCTGGGCTCCATAGTGAGTTCCAGGTCAGTCTGAACTACATAGTGAGACCCTGTCTCAAAAATAAAAAAAAAGACATGGTGAAGTTTGAAGTTGCATACAGAGTAGTTTGCAGTTTGTCATGATAAACGTTGCCTCTGCCAACATCTAAATAACAACACTTTATGGGCAGGTCATGAGGTCCCCAGGAGCCATGGCAGGGGAAGACCATGTTTAGCACTGGTCACAGGTTGGCACCATCTTAGACCTCACACGCACACACACGTGTTCTGTGACTTTGTGGGTGCCCTGAAGCCTGTTGAGGTTTTTCTGTGCAGGCTGAGTGGACCCAGACTCAAGAGAAAGCCTGAGTTCAACTTCTCCTTCGGCCCTTTGAGTTGATCTGTTCTCATGAGATTTCAATGTGACCGAAAGGCGTACAGTCTAGCTTTACATCCCCAGAGTTAACACTGTTCAAGGTCAGGGTGAGATAAGAACTGAGGGAGCACTTTGGACCCCAGATCCCAACTGCTGGACTCAAGATGGCCATTTCTTTAGCAGTCTGTGATGGAAAAGAAAGGTCACCTAGTGATTGAGAGAGAGACAGTGGGAGGGTGTGGGAAACAGGCAGATGCTCGGCACCTTGAGGGTGGACATGGAAGAGACGACAAGCTGGGCAAAGGCAGCAGAGACACGGTCAGAATGGCAGGCGAAGCCACTTTTCCCCTCTGCCCCGGACTCCCGGCCACCACCAGGCTGTGAGGCCCGGAGTGACAAACCTGGTCCATCATGATAACTCGACAGGGCACTCGTGAAAGCGACTCCGGATCACAGGTAGGGCTCAGTGTGTTCGCTTCGTGTGGACGGCCATTTATTTCAGATGGTCTTTGCCCGTATCTCTCTGGATCGATGCTATAACTCACGGGCACTAGTGGTAGGTCCTTGAAAACTGGGAGTTACTATTTACAGCCTAGCCCAGGCCTAGGTAGTAAAGAAAGTTTCTGATTAGCTAAAGTAGGTGCTAAGCCTTGGCAGTAAAAGATGCCTCTCAGGGTCACTCTTACACGCACCTTTAAGGTGTGGTGGTTGGATGGGTGATATGGACGAGCTCTTTTCTTCCTTCACAGAAGATGAGATTTAGCGAGCTGACATCAGGTGGTGCCACTACAGCAGAGGAAGTTGTCCCTTCACGTGGTGATGGGGGTCCAGTGCCTAAGAACAGCTCCATTGTTAGTGCCCTGCAGCAAGAAGCAGAAAAATTGCTCTTGGAAGCCACATGGGCGCATTTAAGCATAGCCCTGCTCAGGGGCCATGTAGAATAGAAAAAGTTGTGACCCTAAGGAGTTCTGCGGGTACCATGAGGTTTGTAAAATGATTAAAGATCGTCAAGAGGTGGTTCAATTCAGTTTGCTCCCAGTCCTCGGATTTATTTGTTTGATTTTTGAGACAGGGTCTGCTTGTGTTGCCCAGGCTGGTCCCCAGCTCCTAGGCTGGAGTGATCCTGTCTCAGCACCCGAGTAACCGGAATTAACTGGTGTGTGCCACAGCACCCGGCTTCAGTTTTTAATCATCACATAATTGGCTAAAAGTTTGTGTACTTTCATTTCAGTTAAATGTGAATTTACCAATAGGAAGCCAAATAAATTGCAAACATGGTGACATAGAGAAGCTGCTTAGATTTTAGGTAGAAGCACAGAGAGCGGAGCAGAGCCAGATGACCCTGATTTAAATTTGGGCTGTGTCATTCATTTAATGTGTGACCTAGGGCAGGAGAGTTAATTTCTGTAACTCAGTTTGCCCATCAATAACAGTGTCTGGCAAAGAGCAGCAGTGTGCATTCATTTTACAAAGTACAAAAAGTTGGACTCAGTGGCACATTCCTAATCCTAGCTGCTTTGGAGGCTGAGGCAGGAGGATCTCAAGTTTGAGACTAGCATGGCTAATTTAGATTCTGTCTCAAAATAAAACAAGGAGAGAAAAGGGCTGCAGACATAACTCAGTGGTAGAGTACGTACTTGGCCTGGCACAGCCAGGACCTGGTGGTGGTTCCTACCCTCCTGTGGTCCTCCCTTAGCTCTGGGCTGGTCTGGGGATTCCATGTCCATGTTACTGAACAGTAAGTACAAGCACTTGTGGCTCTGTGACTTAAAGTCTTGCTTTTGTCCATTTCAATGCAGGCGGCAATCATTTCATTGCTGTGTATGATCCGGTCACTGGGACTATTAATGTTTGTGCCCCCCCCCGACATTTCATTCTCTTGGATATGGGCACAGGAACAGGCTCGCAGCTGCGCAGCTTCAGGTGTTTGTGTTGGTGAACGTGTGCATACATTTGGGTTCATGCTCAGTGGATTTTGATGCCACTTCTATTCTATCTTTCATCTTTTTTTTTTTGGTAACGGAGATCGAGCTGGGTCCTTGCACTTCTAAAGAAGGCGCCGGAACCACTGAGCTAAATTCCCTGCCCCTCATCTATCTGCATTTCTTTCTTTCCTTCCTTCCTTCCTTCCTTCCTTCCTTTCTTTCTTTCTTCCTTCCTTTCTTTCTTTCTTTCTTTCTTTCAGAGTGGCCTCAAACTGACTCACTGTGTAGTCTAGGCTGGCCTCAAGCTTGATGTGATCCTCCTGCCTCAGCCTCCCAAGTGATGGGATTACAGATGTGTGCCACTGTATCCAGATAATTAATTTTTTAGTAGTACATGTTAGGCATACATTTTGATCACATTCATCACGGATGTGTACTTGTTCGTAATATCTTTGTTCCCTGTTCCCATCCCTTCCTTTAACCCTTTCTCTCTGTTTATAAAAGCTGTTTGCCTTTTTTCCTTCAATTCTCTTAAAATTCCTTTCCTCTTCACTCTGCCCTCCCTTATTCCCCTCCCGTTTGGAGAAGTTCTTCCTACTTGTCGATAGCCATCCTCTACTTTGCTCCTATTTACACTTTGGGTTTCTCACAAGAGAAACAATGTGAAATTTAAACGTGGGTGTCTCATTTATATCACTTATGGTTATGGTCCTGAGTGTACCTTGGCTCTTGAGAGTAAATTAAAAATTTTGTGATAAGGAGTGTAAGTTATGATCTGGGTGTATCTCACCCAACCTTGTGCCCTTTTCTATTGTGGGTTCATAAGTGTTTGCCTGAATTGTCTTCTGGAAGTCCTATTGTTTGGCTTTCTTTTTTGGTACTGGGAATCCAACTCAGGACTTGGCTTGCCAGGTAGGTTTGGTGCCACTGAGCTAAATCCCCAGTCCCTACTGTTTTGCCTTTTACATTTAAATGCACATGTGTATATGGTGTGAGGTAGGGCTTCCAGAAGGCCATGCAAAGATTTCAGATGCTCTTTGCCAGCTTCTCTGGGGCCCACATATCTTCTGGGTTCTCTTATTTCTGAACTCTGATCCTGTACCAGTGATCTATGACTATAGAACTGGTTAAGTAGCCTTGGACAAGACTCAGCACAGTGACCTGAGCCTCAATCTCGACATTAATGATATTTACTCTTTCAAATGCTACCTTGTAGCACAGCAGTAGGCACCAAAAGAAATGCTGAAATGAATTGAGAAAACTCATCTACATCCTCATGTTTTTTTGCGGGGGTGGGGGTAACCAGATATCAAACTCGGGTCTTTGTGCTTTCTAGGCAGGCGGCGGCACCACTCAGCCAAAATCCCTGGTTCCTCATCTCTGTTTTTGGTGAGATGGTCTTGCAGTGTAGTTCAGGCTGGCCTTGAACTCACTGTGTAGCCGGGCTGGCCTCCAGCTCTGAGCAGTCCAGAACCTCTCAAGTGCCGGGATTATAGGCGTGTTCCACCACATCATGCCACACCCACCCTTGACCTCACTTGGATGCCCAGAGAAGCCACTTTCCTTTCCCTATCCATGTGGGTAGATACTTGTCAGGCAGGCTGTGCATTACAAGTCATTCCTTAGGAAGGTGCTAGGGGATCACTTGGAGTTGGCTTTGAACTCGTGCCCACCTGCAAAGCCCTGCCTCTTTCATAGGCACAGGGCTCATTGTATTTCTCCAGTGCCCACTTTCTGAACAATGAGCTCTGGCCTCTGCTCCAGGCTGTGGTGCTGAGCCCCAAGCTTCCGGGTCAGCCCAACCCGACCTTCCCACCCATCTCTCCCAACACGGGAAGTTCCCTGTGTAGGCAGCATGGCTAACGAGGCCTGAGCACTGCCTGGCAAACACTGTTCTGTGTTATATTTTAACAGAGATCATTATTCCCATTTTACACAGGAGCAAATAGAGGCAGGGAAGCAAGTTGTACAACCGGTAATTATTTCAGGCATTCTGTCCCCAAATCCCTGAGTTTAATCGCCAACAATCTGGACTCCTCAGGCTTCTTGGTCTGGCAGGAAACAGCCCCACTCCAGTGGGGAGCCCCACAATGGGTTACCAGCAGCCTGCAACTAGCAAACAGGCCAAGTAAGCCTCAGGCAAGGCGGGAGGAAGACTCCGGGTTTCAGGCTAAGACCCAGATTTGGCCCTGCTTGGCCAGTCGTGGGTCATTTTGTGTCCTTTTACTCCTCACCTAGGCTTTTAGAAAGAGCTTCTGGGTGTAGGCTGGCGTCACTAGGGCCCCCGCAGTGCCCAGCACCTAATGGGTAGCTGTTAGGACAAGGATGGGCTTCCAGGGAGGTCTGGTCGCCTCACCAGGCCGGGAAGGAGAAGGATGGACACAGACAGGGCAGAGGAGGCTGGGAAAGGCAGGCCTGGCTCCGGGATTGGTCTCAGCCTCTTCCCCTTCTTCACCCGGCCCCAGCCCTTCCCTCGCCACAGGCTCAGACCCAGAGCCAAGCTGGCCAGCACCTACGCACCACTCCAGACTGCGGACCCTTCCAACAATCCCGGCTTTGTGTCTGTCCCTGAATTTCCAGTTGGCTTTTTATCTGTCTCAGCGACTCTGCCTTCCTCTCCAGCCCTGGAGGTGGAGGCGGAAGGAAGGTTCGGCTGGGGAGGAGAAGGCAGGCAGGGGGCTGGGTGAGTCCCTCCCGCCCGCGCGCTCCCCCGCGGGGACGGAGCCGAGCGCCGTGCTTGG